TCATAGTTCTTTACTCGTCAATTCCATTAATTCATTCAGTGATTCTTCCATCGATTCATGTGCTTTTTCTTTTTCACGACCACACCTTACCCGACAAGGTAATATTATCTTGACAGATGTCATACCAAATCGGGTAAGTGTCCTTTTCTTCAATGAAATCGTTAATGGGGCTTGGCTTTCATAAGATCTACGTTCAATGCATTCATACAGAGGGCCTGGTTTGAGCAGGTTTGGCTTGCATGCGATCGTCGTTCGATAATTGGGTCCCGGGGCATTGCATACGGCTCTGGCGTAACGATTTGTAGATCAAACATACATCATTTCGCATGATTTGGTCATGGTCTTGAGGTCACGTTTTGACCATGACAATATGCTGTTTAATAAGAGTTGGTTCAGTAATTAATTGATCTGGTAATTTAATATTTAAGAAATATATTGGAGCTTGATAGTGATTGAGGATACTGTTGATAGCATGTGTAGGCTTGCTAACAAGAGTCTCACATCTCTTCTTAGAAGCTTTGTTGAATTTGTTGACAAAGAAGAAAGGAGTTTTTAGTATAGCATGCTTGCTACAGTTGGTACCATATATCCTGAGTATGAATAATCTATTCTAGAATTTGAGCAGAATCTGAACTTAGAAGAGTTAGAAGATTATATTGAGATCGTGAGTTAATATCCTGAATTTGTGAATTAACCAAAGAGATATCTAAAGTTGTATTAATATTTTTAAGATTTTTGATTAGATGTCTGAGTTTTTTAAGAGATATGTATAGTTGTGTACTATGTGGGGTGTATTTATGATTATAGCTACATTTATGACTAATTTTGTTTGGAATAGTTAATATAGCAGTATTTATAATTGAATGTTTAATCTTATGCCATATAGTATCGATACTTTTAGAGATTTGTAGTAATAGTGGTATTTGATGTTAATTAAGTTTTATTGTAAAGAAATTTGAAAATTCAGATCAATTTTCTGAGGTCATAACTTTGTAATTAAATATATGACAGCTAATATCTATATGCAAATGAGAAGGTTTGCTATAAGTATTAGAAAAAGTCTATAATATATTAAGTATAAGATAATTACTATGAGTACTAGTATTACTAGTATCTAGTTTATATGACAAGAAGAACTGAATATTAAACTGATCAAGAATGAGATACAAAGTAAGTGAATAATATGCATTTAGTATAATATATAAGTTAATAATGACTGCCTACTATGTAATATAGCAGTAATTATATCATTATGGTAGTTTGTAAACTACCCCAAATTTTGAAGAAATTCGACTACTGGTAGTAAGTCAATTTAATGTGATCTCATCTTCTATTTGTGGAGAATTAATTAAATCACTATCTTTTACCCATTGTGAATGTTTAACTTTTAATCTTTATCTTGATTCCTCATAAAATGCTTATATATACTATTCGTCAAATTTACTCACAAAAAGCCTATAAATAATAGTTAATGATTTTAGAGAAAGGTTATAAAAAAGGAAATACTGTATGATGCATACGTACGTACAGAATAAAAACTTTTGTTTCCTGACCATAATTGAACAGTAAGTTCTGAAAAGCAATTGTCATATTCACATACTCTTACTTTATTATGAAATTAGAGATATTTTGAAAGCTTTTTGTAATTTTTTTCACAGTTATATTAAGGTTTAGGGTTAGTATTATTAATAAAAAATATGTGAATTTAGTAGATATTATAAATTTAAATAAAGATCTCAAAACTTAGCATAAGCCGCCACAATAAACATCATTGACCTGAATAGTTTTTTTTTAATTACTTAGATTAATTAAATTTTCTATACTTAAATTAAATAGTAAATATTTATTAACTTGTTATTAAATTAAATAAATAATTGTTTACCTAATAATTTGAACAAAGTGATCTATGATCATGAACGATTCATGTGATTACCAAGACCATAAAGCGAAAACTATCCAAGCTGATAAGTATTATTTTTTTTTATTTATTTTATTTTATTTTATTTTATTTTATTTTTTTGATATATGACTAACTCTTTTTTTTTATTTAGGTTTTTATTAACCGTTACTCTATGTATAATATATCGTATACACCAATTTTTGTTACAGAATCATAGGAATATACTTACTAATCCAAATAGCACGAATAAAATAAAAATTAAAATGAAAATTCATGAACTTGAATAGATTATTTTTTAAAACTTAACAAATAATTGATATATTTATTTAGCAAATGTTCTTTATACTAACTTAGCAAATATCAATTATACTCTAATTACTACCCAAAAATTAATAATAGGAATACCCACTGTCATTATTATATACCTCTATAACACAGTCAACTTCGCTTTCAACAAGATGTTTATAATAATATTGAGATAATGCTTCCCATTCTTCTTTAACCATCCTTTCAAGTCCGTTAAGGTTGCCAGGTCTTGAACGACATTTTCGAAGCTTTTTTTCAACCTCGAACCAAAGATTCTCAATTTGACTAAGATCCGGACTGTAGAGAGGCCATTTTAATGGTTCAATATTCTTATTAACTAGATACCTTTTAACTATCTTACTTCTGTGGACTGAGGTACCGTCATGTTGAAATACCCTGTTACTATTAGAGTATTGGTCTTGAAGCTTGGAAATAGCATAACAACTAAGCATCCTATGATAGGACGCACTTGTAATACTGCTATAGACACGAACAAGAGGACCAAGACCCCACCAAGAAAAATATCTCCACACTATAATCTCTTTAGATTTGATTGCTGGAACAAGGCAATTATCATCAAACTCTTCTTCCGGCAGTCTCCATATATATTGATGTGGATTAGGAGAAATTAAAGTAAAAAATTTCTCATCTGACCAGAGAACATTTTTTCAGTCGTCAACTGTCTAGTGAAGATGCTCTTCAGTCCACTTCTGACGTTCTTCTTTAGCGTTAGTATTAATAAAAGGTTTTGAATAGGCAACACGTGCGAACAAATTAGCTTTACAAAGAGTGCGACTAATAGTTCTTTGTGAAATTGCCTGTAATACAATATAATTTAAAGATAAAAAAAATAAATTAAAAATAACAAAATAAATAAATTAAAAATAAATAAATAAAT